GTGCCTCTTCAGCTAAACCATCTGCCCTACGGGCTGCCTGTCTGACTTGGGTGAGTACATGTTCTGAATTATGACGCAACAATGTGTTATCGTGCCTCACATGGTCTAATTCATACTCCACTTGGTTGTATTGTTCCTTGATATGGGCATAATCATGCATTAACCCATCAGCAGCATTATGGGTTTTGTCGAGACGGCTTGAAAGCGCCTGAACAATTTCCCTTCATCTTTGATTTTCTTGAGCATACTGAGCTAACTGTACTTCTTTCTCCTCCAGCACAATGACTTTTTCACGAAGGGACATGATTTCTGTTTGTAGAGAAGACATTTGTTGTGATATTTGATTGTTTCGCGCCCTCAAGGCTGCTTGTGAGCTCTCTTCGTACTTTCTTCTGTTAGGGTCCCGAACCTCTACTTCTAGCGGTCTGTTTTCTTTCCCCTGGCAACCGACCTCCCTTCTTGCCTGCTGTAATTCCAGCTCAATGTTTCGAGGTAGATTTTGATTGAACCCTAGTTGTAGTCTTTCTTTAGCTGATGTGGGGTTCCTTTCTCGCAGCTCGAATTCTATTATGCGAACCTTTCGCTGAGTGGATTGATTTGGGCTCATTTCAGAAAGAATTCTCCTAGTTGGAACCTCTAGCTTTCCTTTGCCCTTGTCGGTTGGTAGGAGAACCACAATTTTTCCTCTACTCGAATGCCACTGTTCATATCCTTCAAATATATTATCGTGGTAATTGCCACTTTGGATTCTGACAATCGTCTTCCACGCCTTTACGACCTCCTGAATTTTGTTTTTGCAAAACCCAATATCATAGGCAAATTCAGAGTTTCTTAAGTCATGTGTGGCGGGGATAAACTGACATACCCATATCTGACGCAGTACCATCAATGGGGCATAAGATACACATCCCCATGGACCCAATAACGGCAGACTGTGAAATTTACCACACCTATACATCATAGGTTTGGTTGACACCCATCGGGCTTTCCACTCTACGTCTTCTGGCCTTAGTCCTGCAAAGAGAATGCTCCACTCTTCTTTTCCTGGGTGAATTTGACTCCAATCTGCTTGGTTGAATTCAAGGATGAGATTTTGTAATCTACTCCACGATCTTGAAAATTTGACTTGAGGACTCTTGAACTCTGGTGGACAATTTATATGGCTGAGGATCCAAATGTATAGCAGCTGAGCACAGCCTATAAATTTCCCTACTCCTCGCGTTCTGCAAAAATTTAGTGCACGGAAGGTTTCTGCCAGGATGGGTATTACGAGATTAACCCCCATTTCTACCTTGACAAATAGCTTGACCACCCGCTCTTCAACGTACCCACTAACTTTAGGGAATAAAACCAAGTTAAATAAGCACAGAGCTAATAGCGATAGCTCCCTTTCTTCATTAACGAACCTCTGCTGAAGACTCAGGATATATTCTATCGGTAAGCATGTGTTTTCTCCTTTCCTTTTCACATGTTTTTCAATCTCACCAGCAGATATCTTCCCTACAAGCAGCGATACTGCCCTTTTCAATGTAAACCCACCATCATATGAATAAACCTCAATTTTCTCTTGCAGTGGTATTTGTAAGAGGGTGTGGTATTCCTCTATAGTTGGGGTTATATCCATTGAGCTAAAAGTAAAGCATCTATAGGCCAGATCCCAATGTTGAACTAATGCTCTCAACACTGAGAAGTTTACTCGCACGTGCAGGAGCTGCGCTATGTGGCCATATTTTTTTATGAACTGGGTCTTTCTATCTGGTCTTAAACCCTCCCATAAACGTTTCAAGGTATCCAACTGATTTTCTGGAAACGTTACATTTTGAAATGGCATGATTACATTCTGTGATAATGCGTCACCATGAGTATGTTGCATGTTCTCTGACCATTGACGGACAATTTCTTGGTCTTGCTCTCTCCACTCTTGGGTAGGAACCTTACTGGAACTCATGCTTTAATTTACTGTCAATATTAATGATTTAAGACTTAGTTCAATTTTGGTAAAATTGAAAGAAAATAAATTTAAAGGGAAAGTTGCGAAACTCTTTTTTTTATTGTTGTAAAAAAAACGATTATTAAGTGAGAGAATGTATGAGACTCTTTTAAACAAATCACTTTATTAACACCAACAGAAACAAACTAAACAAAAAAAAATAATAAATAGCAGAAATCTGATGCTAAAATGAGTGTAAAGTTAATGCCTACACAACCTAGAGGGAAGCGGCCCCCAAATCTTCCATACGCTTGCGCGGTATGGTCAACTTGAGTGGAGAATTTCATGCGCCTGCACGGGAACCGAAATTCCACGAAGGTCACACTACTCAGTCCCCGATCTAATCTTAAAGGTAAAGCCCGGGTAGGAGGCTTGTGTATTTGTGCGAGATGCATATGATGCCAAACCAAACTAATAAATAAAAAAAAAACAAAGCGAACAAGAAAGGAAAAAAATATATAATAAGATAATAAATGACAAAAATAATGGCTTGACTATCTAAAGGTCCCCAGTGGAGTCGCCAAGCTGTCGCAACGTCATCGCGACGCGGAGCGGCCGACGTCATCCCCTGACGGGTCTCTTTTGAGATTCGGGTTTGGAGTCGCCACCAATCATCTACGAGGTGTGATTGGTCACCTATTTTTAAAAAGTTGGTCTACGAAAACAGAATTTTGGTTCGGGAGTTGACTGAGTGTAGGGAAGGTGTTAGCACCCTACGACACCCGTTCGAAAACGGTACCATATTTTGCCAATAATTATCCTATTATACATTGGTCCAAAAAGAAAAATATTTTTGTGTTTGATTTTTAAATGTCCCAAATTTATTGGTTCATATTTTATGATAAAATATGAACCAACAAGCATGAGTGGCGCAAAAACCATTAGAAAAACAAATTATCACCTCGAGAATATTGGAAAGATCCAATTTCTGTCATTGGGATTTTCAAAATAATTATTTAGTAGAAAAGAAAAATTAATAAATAAAAAATAATTTTAGCGTAGGGGCCATCAAGACTTAAACTTGTGATGTGAGAGTCCATATACAAATTTCTAATCAATGTGCCAACATACTAAGATATTACTTAATATTTTATATAAATGTTTTAAGATTTGAAATCTTATAAAAACGAAATTTTTTTTTTAAATTAAAAAAAACATTTTATCTAAAATAGTTGTTTGGTAAAATAATGATATAAAAAATAATATTAATTTAGGCAAGAAAAGACTCGAACCTTAAACGTGTGAATTACTCCTAAGTAACATACCACTATGCCAACACCATATGATACAACTTAGTATTAATTCTTATCATACAAATCTTTATTTAAAAAAATGTTAAAAAAAATAAAACTAAAAAAATAAAACTAAAACGAAAAATAATAATAATAATAATATAAAAAAAATTTATTTTATTTTAGATTTGAAATTCCTCCAACAAACTTCCTTAAAACAAAAAAAAAATTTAAAACAAACTTGTTTTTAAAATAAAAAAAAATTATATTTAAAACAAACTTATTTTAAAAATAATCAAATCATATTTCTTATTTTAAAAATAATCAAATCATGTTTAAAACAAACTTATTTTAAAAATAATCAAATCATATTTAAACAAATCTATTTTAAAATATATCAAATCATATTTAAACAAATTTATTTTAAAATATATCAAATCATATTTAAACAAATCTATTTTAAAATATACCAAATCATATTTAAACAAATTTATTTTAATATATATATATATAT